TTAACCGCTTCGAAACGCCGTGTGCGTAGCTACCGAAGTTTTCTCCAATCAAGGTTTCGAGGACGGTGGAGTCAAGACCGGTTTTAGAAGCCAACACGTGGGCTTCGCTGAGGAGAAGCATAAGACCTGCGGTTACGAAGTTGCTTGTTGTTTTCAGCAACAGCGCCTGAGATGGTTCTTCACCCACTCTAATTACCGCGCGCGCGATGACGTTTTCCAGGAAAGGCAGGATGGGGGTGATGGCAGATGGAGGCCCCGCAATGGCCATTAGCAGTCGTCCGGCTTGGGCGAGGGGTGTGGCGCCGAAGACGGGGGCGGCGATGTAGGATGTACCGGTAGAGGTGAACTGCGCTGTCATAGTTGATGTGGTGGAGGGGTGGACGGTTGTTGTGTCGATTATGGTTTTGGTGGGTAGGGGGCCGCTGGAGAGGATTGTGGAAGTTATGGTTTGGAGGGCTGTGTCGTCGCTGACCTTTGAGTTATCAGTTTCGATATCTTTACTGGGTATTTGATGAAGACGGGCTCACGGAAATGAATATCACATCGCAGTTTTGAACCAAGTCTGCGATTGATGAATAGGGCGTGCCTCCGATGTCTTTTAGGCTGTCACCTCGTGAGAGAGTTCGGTTCCAGTACTTGAGTGATGGTAGGTTGCGCTGTGTGAGGTGTTTCTGGATATTTGTCGCCATGGCTAGACCCATTGATCCTAGGCCTATCCATCCCAGGCGGAGAGGTTGCGTAGGCATGTTGACCGGGTGTAATAACGCGTGTTTTGCGTTGGGTTGAAAGACGGTGGATTTGAATGCTACACTTATCCCCAAGGTGAGGTGACTCAACTTGAAAACGTAGGTATGAGTATACATGCACACGAATCGGGTATGCAGTACACTAGTGTGTATTAGGCAAGCGACTATCTGATATAAGCGGATATTCAAGGAAGATTGTAGCCATGGGTAGAACTCACAGCCTCGCTCCATCTTGGTATACCAAGTAGGGATACCTTGTGTAAGGCAAGCAAAGGTAGAAATACGACAAGACCAGCTGGATTGCACGCTGTCAGTGTAGCTTGTAACACGAGCTCAATACCGAATGATACCGTTCCTTGTATTTTGTCAATAATATAAATAATACAAGTGATGCATGGAGGACCCCAAACTCCTGGCTATGCTGATGGTCGTAGATGAAAATGAACCAATCTCCAATAGTTCTTCTTGTACATCTCGGGACCATACTGTGACGGTAATCCACCATATCCTACTCCCCTCGCATTCCTTGGATCCAAGCTGTCACTTTGGAGGCCGAGCGCTGCAATAGCACTGTCTTCAGAGGCAACCTATCTCCAGAAGTCTACTCTTCGTCCTCATCATCGTCAACCACACGTCTCCGCTTCGTCCGGCTGACAACCACCTCATCATCGTCGTCATCGTCGGCAGCAACACCACCCCGTGCTCGCTTGGGACTCGCCGCAATACCCTCATCTGGATCATCGTCGTCGTCCACGATCTCCGGCTCCTCGTCACTAGCGGCGATGAAGTCATCCTCCTCGTCGTAGTCGTCTTCGCGATTCCTTCTTGGGCCACCATAGTCCTCGTCGTCACTCCAGTCACGCCGTAAGCCACCCTTCTGCGCGTTCTTCTTCCGAGCCGGGCGGTCTTCCAATCCGTCAATGTCGAGACCTCCTGAAGCGCGACCGCCGGTGCGGCCCATGGTGCGGTTTGCGCGTTCTGCCTGGCGCGCTTCGTGCTTCTCGCGGGCGCGCAATTGCCTCTGCTTCTCCTTGAATGTAGCCTCTTCGCGTTGTCGGCGGAGCTCGGGGTCTTCGTCCACGTTGATGAAGGATATGGCTTGGTCGGCATCGTCTCGGCCCTTTGCCGCGACCTTGGCAAGGTCGTTTTGCAGCTTTTCCAGCGCGGCGTCTTTCGTGTTCGATGTCGGTACGACGTTGAGGGATGCCGTGAGCTTGTTCGTGACGCGCATAACGTTCGCTTCTTCGTACGGCGCAACCAGGTATGTGTAGCTCTCCTTCTTCGCGCTTGTCTTGCCATTCTTCTCGTCTCTGACAGCCGTTGGTGTGGGAATCTTGGGGTTGACTTGCGGTGGGGCTAGGGTGTTCGCATCGATGTCGTACTGGGTTGTAGGGTCGGTCGCAAGCTGAAGGGTTAGGGAGCCGTCTGACCACCTGAGAATCCGAGCATTGGACTGTAGGACGGCGTTATTCGAGGGTGAGCGTCGCCATCGGACCGTGGTCATGGCGGTGTTGTAGGCTGAGAAGTGCTCAGACGCGGCGAGCTTGGAGTGGTGGTCTGTAGTCGGCGGCTGGAAGGTCTTGTGATCGAATGCTTTATCTTCGAAGGATAAGAAGCGCGGGACTTTCAGAAGGTAAAGCTCGTTGTCGGTGGGCTCGGGAACGGGGTGTCGCGCCAGGTCGGCGTCCATGTATGCAAATGTCTGCTGCTCGACCTCCTCTACAGCTTCTGGTGCCCTGACGCGATCCGTCCGGCCCTCGTCGTCGCCCGAATCGAGCTCTGCATCATCAAGCTTCCGGTGCTCACTAAACACGTCAGTCTGATACTGGTACTGAGTTTCTCGCGACCTACGCTGGCGCATCTTCACCTGCATCCCCGTCTCCGTCGCCAAACAGGTCATCTTCATCATCCTCGAGACCGTTGTCCTCCACAGTGTTTAGCGGTGTGCCCTCGTCGGCATTCCCAGCAGGAGTTGCCTGGCCATTGACTTCTTCGTCGGAGAGCTGGCCCGCGTCGGACATGGTCGCGGTTGGTGGTTTGCTGGTGCTTCTGTTGGTACCGTATCCAGACTCTTCAAGACAGCGACGCGACCGTAGACCTAGAGTTGCGAGTAAATTGACGAGATAGATGCGGTAAAGGTACGCGCACCGATTGATGGCCGCGATGAACAAAGTTGCGACCAGTAACCCATGAGAATCGCGCTATCCCAATCCATCCTAGCGTGCCGCCCCTTCTCGATGCAGCCCTTAGGAGAGTGGGCCCAAAAAGCGTGCCCGCTCGAGACGTATCACCAACATCCTCCCCCTCAATCCTCTTGCATACCTTCATAAGCCGGCCTCTCTAGGTGCATTGGACGTATCCGCCCCGTACCCCCCACACTAAATTCCACGAATCCGCAAATCATGGCCTCTTTTTTCGCAAACGTGTAAGTTGCTTGGCACATGCTCCCCTTCCTCAAATGCTCGCGCCTCCCACCCCCAGTCCACGGCCTGAAACATTCAGGCATTTGCTGCATGTCGTCTCACGATTTCACTTTCTGATATGCACCACTTTTCGGCATCTCCCTGCCGTCTTATTGTGTTATAACTTGCGTCCGTCGGAGCCTGAAGTTGTCTTTTCCTCATTCTAACAACTTCACCGATAGTCGCCAAGGATTGGCTGGTCGATCCAACAAGGGCCAACAGCAGCAGGGCAAAGGTGGCTCCGCGTCGCCAACCACTCCATACTCGGCTTCACCAACAAACCAACAACCTCCAGGCCAACCGCCTATGCCCCATTCTCCCGCTCTATCCTCTGCTATGTCGTTCGAAAGCCAAGGTGCTCCGTCGGATGGGTCCGTGCCGTCTGGCTCCCGCAGACCGCCTTTCTTCTTCCGCGAAGAGTACTCCAACTTGATCGTCAAGGGTAACTTTATGACTTTGGCTGCGAAGCCGAAGCTAGTCGAAGAGGGCGAATGGCTCGCACATCAAGGTATGTTTATACTTTCCAATGCCCCGATATCGCTAAGCATGTGACCAGTTGTCGAGCAGTACAGGCTACTCGAGCAAATGATTGAAATCATCAAGGTAACAGACGACCGGACAGGCAAGCCTGTCTGCAACCCAGATACCTGCCCTACCATGTCTGCCAGCGGTCACACATACACCTGGCTGGATAACAACAAGAAGCCCATCAAGATCCCCGCAATCCAGTACATCAACCTCGTACAAAAGTGGATCGTGGGCAAGATCAATGACCCAAACATCTTCCCCACAGACACCACAGCCATCTCTATCGGAGCATCAACCTACGCTTCTGGTTCCATGACACCAACCTCAACGCCACAGCCTCTCGGACCCACTAGCTCCAATGCCCCCATGTCTCAACTCGCCGGGCGCGAGTGGCTCGGCAAGTCGTCTGGTTTCCCTGAGACATTTGAAGGAGACATCAAGAGTATCTACCGCCAGATGATGCGATGCTATGCACACATCTACCATGGCCACTGGCTGGACCCGTTCTGGAACGTGAGTGCGTACAAGGAGCTCAACACGTGCTTCATCCATTTCATCAACGTCGGCAAGCTGTTCAACTTGATCGGCGACAAGGAAATCGAGCCCATGCAGCCGCTGGTCGACCTCTGGGCTGAGAAGGGTCTGCTTCCGCCTATCACGGCTGCCAAGGAGGCAGGTGGGCAGCAGGCTGCACCCGCGTCTTGAGCGACAAGAGTATTCCACTTGAGTAACGAAATGGGCGCCATTTGAAATGGAACACCACATCAGCAAGCTATCAACATTTATCGCCTTGCATGGGTAGCGTGAGGGGTCTGGGAGGGGTTGATTGGCGTTCTGGCATGTATTACGATTTGCGCAATGTAGCCTACATGTGAATAGAGCAATGAACAGTTCTGAACAACTTCTCGGGTCACCACACACATGCAGTCAAGACAGCAGCTAGTAAGAAGAGACTCAAATTTGATAGTACCACGTAAAGTAACCAGAGAACTGATTTCCCAACGATCCCAGAAACGAAATGTCATAGTACTTCACACAAACTCCAATGGCGAAAAGAGAAGAGAAACCATGTGTCTCCGCTCCACCATCCGATCTGATATTTGACACCGATGCAAATACATTTCATGGGTCCGTGGTTTTGTAGAGATGCGTCATGGCTGGGCTCTGCCACAACGATGGGGCGTGCGTTCGTTATAAGAGGTCTGTGCTAGCAGACGGTTGGCATTTTCGTGACTCGCTATGTGATGGTTCGCGCTCGCCGAACTTAGTTGTGACCGGCCTTGCGGAGAGAGTTGCTCAACCACTCGAGACCCTCGTAGAGACCGTCACCGGAGGTAGCGCAAGTCGACTGGATGTACTGCAGGGGGTTAGCTGACAGGCGTTTGAAGCAGGGGGGACCCGGAACATACCCAGGCACGTTGTCGGAGGCTGTGAAGACCAAGCTTGTCGGTGATCTCAGCGGCGTTCATGGCGTTCTGACGCATTGTTAGTCGTTTGGACATTTGTGTTCACGGCTCTTGAAACCTACAGGCAAATCCTGCTTGTTGGCAAAGACAAGGAGGAGAGCGTCCCGCAGCTCGTCCTCGTTCAGCATGCGCTGGAGCTCCTCACGCGCCTCAACAACACGGTCGCGATCGTTGCTGTCAACGACGAAGATGATACCCTGGGTGTTCTGGAAGTAATGCCTCCATAGAGGACGGATCTTGTCCTGACCGCCGACATCCCACACGGTGAACTGAATGTTCTTGTACTCGACGGTCTCGACGTTGAAACCTGTAGGTCGAAGAATCAGCGCATTGTCCTGATTGAGCTCATGCTGCACATCGCGACGTACCAATGGTGGGGATAGTGGTGACGATTTCACCGAGCTTGAGCTTGTAGAGAATGGTGGTCTTTCCGGCAGCGTCAAGACCGACCATGAGAATGCGCATCTCCTTCTTTCCCCATAGCTTATCGAACAGCTTCGAAAATGTGAGACCCATGATTGCGGTGGGTGTGTGGTGTGTAGGACGGGTGAGTTGGGAGGCGGTGTATAGACTCTCGAACCTGCGACACTATTTGTCAGAAGAGGGTTGAGGAGAGTATCGTGGCCTTATCGGCTGGTATTGAGCACGGTGACGGGAGTCGCATGGCCGGCGCAGCCATGTTGAGCGCCCGTTGCGGAGTCGACTCGAGGCCACGAGGGAGCTGGCCAGGCGCCGGCTACGGGTTGGGCAAAGCAAACGCAGAAAAAACAATGCAGCGGCGATTGACTTACGGACAGGTTCAAGAGAGTCGGTGGTATTCGGGGATGGGGCGGGTGGATGTGATGTACTCTAAACGATGCACTGGAAGGGCTGCGTTGAAGAGATGTGGTGGAAAGCGCGGCGAAGTCTGGGCACTGTTCGTAAGCTGGCAAGTGCCACAGACACGTGACAAGGGCGGCGATCGCTTATCGTCGTTTTGTTGAAGGAGTTGCGGTGAGAGGCTTCTTGCTTGCAGCTATTCCTTTACTTGGAACGCTTCTTATGATCGCTACTAAGAACTTGACACGTTTTGGCTCTCCTGAAGGCCGGATGTGGAACCCCAAGGCACCCATTTATGTTCGGTTGGGCGATCAGCTGCCCCGGGATTGCGTGAGCTCCAGACCCACACCTATCCGCACTACTGACTGGGCAACCGCTGTATACTGACGTCTGACCAACGCGACGTGTAGTTCGTAAGATATTCTGGGTCGCATTGATCAATGCGCATGCGATTGTCTCCCAGGGTGACCGAGGGACGCGGACACCCAGAACACCTTGAAGTCGCGCAACGGGACGGTATGGTTCAACCACTTCAGTAAGTCGAGGCACATCCTCCTGATTTAGGCATCAATACTTGCAAGAGAACAACATCACATCATCGAGTGGACACGTGGTTATTGCAAGACAGCATTGACATTGATGTCGTATCAGCTAATCTCGCCGTATCCTCGTCATCCGCACCTGTCTTCTGCTCCGGTCGTTCATCTAGCTTGTCGCTCGAGTATCTCGACTACACTGACTCCATCCGCGAACCTAGACTTCGGTGGCCATGGCTCCGGCAGCCCGGATGATGGTACGGAAGCACATCGAGACACTTGCAATCCAAAGGCCACTGCGAACAAGTGTAGGCGCCTGAGTCGAAGTGGTGATGTAGGCGGCGGTGTAGGCGACCCTGACAGCTAGGAACGAAGCGCTGAACGAAGCGAGCTCGCCCTGCGGCAGGCCAGCCATGTTACCGAGGATGACGGCGCCCATGAAGAGAGGAAGGTTCTGTTACTCTTAGTTCGACGGACGTTACAACAAGAGTCGATCAAATCTCACCTCCATCCCGTTGGCGTGACAGGCCTCCATACGTTCGTACTTGGCGTAGGTCTCAGCAGGCAGGCGCTTCTTGAGCTCGGCCTTCATGTCGTTGGAGCGTGGGCTTCGGTTGTCCCACTCGAGGAGATTGCCTCGAGTAGCGACACTCACAGCGAGAGCGTGAGGAAGGAATGAGACTAACCATCGAGAAACTAGGTTAAAATACCGATCGAATGTAATCTCTCACCGGACAGCTTGTACCTACGGATGAGGTAGGCTGGAATCGCCAAGACTGAGGCGTTGTAGCCGTCGAGAAAGGAAGGCATGTTGTTCTTGCGAGTGTCTGGCTGTTGCTAAGGTGTCGTGTGTTGGTAGAGGGAGAAGGAAGCTCTGTTGTGAGCGAGGAGCTTTATTCGTCTTGTGGGGCTGTATTCCGCGGTGACTGCCTTAAGAAGTGAGTACCAGGTGAAGTGAGGGTCGCTAGCACGGGTGCTCTTTCCTCGCGAGGACATGTTCTACGGCCCGCGGTGACACCGCTACGTGAATGTGGAAGTCGCGCAGTCACTGACAACAGCGCTACACCTCATACAAGGAAAAGATTGAACAGGCCTGCAGCCTACATTAACATAGAAACATGCAAATCAGATAACCTCGGGTCTACGCTCCAGGGTCTTCAGCTTTCTCCATGAATGAGGTGGCCAGGTCAGATCGTGGAGACATCACGCGCTCAACCTCAGGTGTCTACAGGGCCACAGGGTGTACGAAAAAGACCCTGCAAGGGTCTCAGGACTTATGGAGGAGGCAAGCGAATTGATCCTTGGTATTCGGCAGGCTACCTCTACAGCTCGCTGACTGTCACTGCGGGGCGTGATGTATGCCCCACCTTCAGGGCTGTCACCATACGCATCGCCCCCTCCGTACAATTTTCCCTCCACGCTATACCTTCATCTAGCGATTGCATCCGTGTTCAATACATTGCGCAAACATACGATACGTTACGATTGTTCGGAAAGACCGCCTCAACGATACCAAGCCTTGTTCAGCCGATTAACATGGACGTTACGAAAAGAGCTCCTCGAGAAGTTTGTGCCGTATGCTGGGGAGTTTGCGGATTCGCATCAAGCAGAGAGAATCTTGAGATGGCCAAAAGTCTAGAGGGTCTCACTTCATTTTGTCAGGCGCGAGACTTACTTGCAGCATCAGCCCAATGTGAAATGTGTGACTATCTGCTCAACGACGCCAAAAAGGACAACAGTCGTTTCGATCTAGATGCAAGAATCGCCATCAACATACGGTTTTTTAACTTCGCAGGAGTAGAGAGTTTCAAAGGTTCTGTCGATAATCTAAGGATTTTTACAAAGGTAGAGGGGCAAGATTCACGTTGGTTGGTAGACCCAAACTGGTCGGATGAATTGGGGTTTATTACATGGTCCGTTCTGGCTCACCGTGGTTCGTATCCCGCCCGCAACCATGACTTAGCATCAACTAACGTTGTTTGCGATGTTCAGATGATCCTGCGGCAGCAGAGATTAAATGTTCTCCAGTCAATCACGACGTCAGCTCTAGCACCAAGCAAGCGAAATCATGGATTGAAGAGTGCAAGCAGCTTCACAAGCACTGTCCCGAACCCGCTATTCCTCTATTACCCACAAGAGTTTTAGATATCAGCGAACAAGCTATTCGACTGCATATTTCCAACGGCGAACGGCGCCATTACTGTGCTCTAAGCTATTGTTGGGGTGGTCCACAACCGGTACGGACGTTGGCCGAAAACATAGAAAGCCACAGAACCGGCATCCAAATCTCAGCTCTACCACAAACTATACAGGATGCAGCATCTTATACGCGGACCTTGGGGGTTAAGTATCTGTGGATTGATTCGCTCTGTATCGTGCAGGACAGCGTAGATGACAAGCGTCAAGAAATTGCGAGGATGGCAAGCATTTATCAAAATGCATTTGTCACCATTGCAGCTACGAACGCATCAAGATGTGTAGACGGCTTTCTATCCAAAAGACGCAGACCGAGTTATGAAACTTTTGTCGGAGATCTTCCCTGGAGCTGTCTCGATGGTAAGCTTGGGAAGGTGTCCTTGCACCGTCAATTTTCTGGAAAACTACGGCAGGAGCCACTCGACAGAAGAGCATGGGCCCTGCAAGAATATGTACTTTCACCACGCGTACTGTCTTTCTCCTCACAACAGCTAGTGTGGGAGTGTCAAACCGTCAGATACACCGATGGAGGAAACCCTGAGTCACAGGGACTCTTTGAGATGGGCAAATCCAGAACAGAACCATCCATGTTATCACCCTTGACAGCTGCAATAGTTTCAAAGTCTCCGCGCAGTATCTCCGCGCATGAAGTATGGGGAAACGTCGTGAAAAACTTTACTCGGAGGGAAATGACTGAAGAAGGCGACAAGCTTCTGGCAATATCCGGCATTGCCCAGCAACTCCATCTCATTACGGGAGACGAATACTTAGCTGGGTTGTGGAAATCGTCTCTAATGTCCGAGTTGATGTGGTCCCACGACTTGAAGTTCGACATTGCCAATAGTCCCCAACCCGCTAGACGACCCGAGACATATCGTGCGCCATCATGGTCATGGGCTTCTGTTGACGGAGCTATCGAATTTTGTGGGTCACTGTACGGACTAAAGCCAGTATCAGAAGTCGTGCAGTGTGAGGTCCTCTTGGCAAACTCGAGCAAGCCATTTGGGGCTGTCATTGATGGTCGCTTGGTGATACGAGGGCCGTTACGTTCGCTGGAAATAGACGAAGCTCTCCAGTACTTCGATCTGGGCCCTACCAAATTTGGATGGGCAAAAGTACCCAGAATGATCCTAGACGGGAACGAAGTTTTGCCAGTCTCCAGTGCAGTCTCGCTGCCGGACAGTATTTCAGGTGATGCTCAAGTTGATCAGCGCATATGGTTACTGGAGACGGGTCGCTACAACGCATATCCTTGCGGCTTTGTCCTTCGCCAGGCTTCTCAGAAAAATCATCGATCATTCCGTCGCATTGGCTGGTTTGATACTAGATCGCCATCGTTTGACGCAACATGGTGGGCCCGCGTAACTTCTATAGAAACAATCACGATAGTTTGAAGAAGATTAGGAGCCACTTCAGCTCGAAGGGATGGGAGGATACGCGAATGCGAACGCACGCTTGATATCCCAAACTCCGAGACGCCCGAAGACTGCTCCATGTATGTACTATAAGATGGCTACATATCATTCAACACTCCTTCAGCAAAGCTTCCAATTCCTTCTAGAAGTCGGCAGGTGGTAGAGTATCTTCACACCTATAACGCACCAGACAGCCTGTCGGCCCACCGACGCACTCCTGATACGGCTCACATTCTGCGCACGGCGGTTCGAAAGCCCTACAATACTCTGGGTTGGTACACGTAACGCCCCGACAATCTGTAGCCTGCGGCCTCAATCCCGTCTTGTCCTTTGGCTTCGAGACCATCGTGCTCGGATCGAGAGGGACAACGAAGTCAGGAACAGTCAACAGTTGAGTTTCATCCGTGACTGCACGTCCATCGACGCCGGTCCATGTATCGCGCTCATCAGGGTACTTCCAGGCGACGAACTCTTCGACGTGATGGGCGGAGAGTTGAATGTAGTCAACTACTTCGGTACGAGCGATGTTGAGTCGGCGCAGAACTCCGTCATATCCTAGCACACGGACGCCATCCTCACTCTTAAGTATCATGAGGGCATCGCGGAGGGACTGAGCATGTATATTAGAATCAATTATTTGCGCTGTACGTTTTGTGCAGACATACCATTCCGTCATCATACTTGGCAGGAAGACTTCGAATTCTTCCCATGAGTAGAAATGTCGCCGTTGCAGATAGGGCAGTTGAGAGCTTCATGGTAGCAGCAGACGATGCAGTGTTGTTAATTGATATGATGTAGAACTCTGGCTCGATAGATTGTATAGTTCTACATGGACGAAAGTCCCTGCTTTATAATCTTCAGCTTGACTCGTCGAGGTACTTGAGAATCAGCACACCCATGCTACATACCTACGTCGGCATCATCGTCATTGTTGGTAACCCGAACGGTCTGAGTAAGCGAAAACGGAGCGTTAATATAAAGTCACGTACACTGCGTCTCGCTTCTTGCTTTTCCCCTCTTCCCATCGACTGTGCCACGCCCAGGCAGCTCTACGCAGCAACGAACTCCCAATCACCAAGTATTCACCGTAAGCACTCCTTCCTCACTCCCTTGACATACTTGATCGCTAACACAGGCTATATCGTCTCTCAGCCTAAATTGCCTCATTTTAGGTCTCAACAGCAGATCGCGCATCATGTCGACACCACGTCCGGAGGTGCGACCAGATCAAGAAGTAGCGGGGAAACACGAAGACGATCCTGCCTCTTCAAGTCAAGCAGAGCCACAAGCTGCAGAGCATGACGATTTCAGTTCAGACGGTGCTGCCCCAGCTGACATAGAGGGTCAGCCAAGTGCAACGGATGAGCTCCGCGAGGTACTCAAATTGCTGAAGAGACCACCGCACGAAAATCACACCCGAGGTCTTTGCAACGACGGTGTTGTCAGATACATGGTCTGGTTGCCAACACCAGACGACGAAGTAACTCGCCAAGGCGTATACGATGCCCAGCCGTTATCTCCTAGGATGATCAAGCGGTGGCTTGACCGGAAGCCATGGAGCCAGGCAGTCGAGGATCGCTTCCGCGGAGTAGACGGGCGAAATGTTCCCCAAGAGTAAGCCGTACCTGGGTATCTCCATGCAGTATGCATTTTATTCGGTTTTGCTGATCGTCAATGTTGTGTAGACAATGGTTAAATCCGCCTCCAGGGGTGTTGCCGTTCCCGGGAACGCTTAATGAGCGCATGGCTGCGATTGAGCAGAACAAGTTAGAACGGAAGTTAGAACGGGAGGAACTCGAAGAGAAGATTGCGCGTGGAGAGATGGAAGCGCCTGCTCCTGGAAAGCATTGCACAAGTTGGGACGTGATAAGTGACTATAATCTTGATCCGCATTAGGTCGGCTGATGAGCTTAGGATCAGCTTCTGCTCGACGAAGAAGTGCGAGTGTTACGAGTTGTGCCTAGAAATTCAAAAGTTCCCC